CCCTCCTGGGGGAGGGGTCTGGCCTGGATAAGGGGCTGGGGCAGTTTTCAGGCCGGCCACATCCCCATCGGAGTGTTGGGGGGCGGGGGTGTCTCTGCTGGGGGCAGGGCCAGCCTGGGCAAGGGGCTGAGGGCTGTTTGCAGGCCATCCACGCCTCCATGGGGTGGGGGTCTCTGCTGGGGGCCGGGCTGGCCTGGGCGAGGGGCTGATGGCCCTTTGCAGGCTGGCCACACCCCCATTGGGGTGAGGGTCTCCGCTGGGGATGGGGTGGGCCTGGGCAAGGGGCTGAGGGCCCTTTGCAGGCCATTCACGTCCCCATGGGGTGGGGGTCTCCGCTGGGGGCCAGGCTGGCCTGGGCGAGGGGCTGAGGGCCGTTGGCAGTCCATCCATGCCCCCATCGGGGTGGGGGTCCCTGCTGGGGAGCTGGCAGTGTGGGCAAGGGGCCTGGATTGGTTTGCAGGCCGGCCAAGCCCCCATGCTGATTTGTCCCTCCCGAACTTTTTTCTCCATTTCCTCATCAGCAGAGGCTGAGGTCCCAGGAAGCTGATGAAGCATAAGCGTCAGGGCCCTGCCAAGGCCAGCGAGGGTCCGAGGGTCCTTAGCACTGTGCTTACATGGTCTTGCGTGTTCGTTGCACCAGGTGCAGGGCTGGAGGTCTTCCTGCAATATGGAGCCAGAGAGTAGATTATGAAAAACGTCCAATAATTAGATATGTGAAACTGTTAGATATTGATGAAAACTAATCATCTGCTATCAAAATGAAGATTCTGTCCACAACTTGATACACTTGATCATGGAGCCTATAGAGTCGCAAAGGCACCGTGCTTGTTTGTTTATGGGAATCAAACCAGAATAGAATTAATCTGAATTCTGCTTTATGTATGGCACAGACTTACAGCTGTGCTACAGCTCATGTACCTGTGGATGAGGACATATTTATTTTGCATCCTTTCATTTAAAAATAATTTTGATCAACCGTGAAAGAGGAAAAGCTGAATTATCTTTCAGTTCTCTATGTATAAAAAAAGATACAAAATCATTACAAAGACATTTACACTTCCCTTCCCCCAAATAAAAAAAAGCAATATAGAGATATGTCAAACAGTTAATAAAACTAGAATGTTGTTTTTCTGAATTTTGAAATATTGGTGCTAATTGTCAAGTTATAAAATTTGTGATTTGTTATTCTAAATAAATATTCACATATGTAGTACCTAATTTTGTATTCTTTTTCTTAGTGGGCTGTCCAAATTGCCTATGCTTTAAGTCCCATAAAACCTAGTTTGCCCTGGCCAGTGGTTAAACATCTGCCAGCACACAGAAGGGTCTTGGATTCAATTCCCTGTCAAGGGCACGTGCCTGAGTTACCAATCAATGTGTGTTTTTCACATTGATGTTTCTCTTTCCCTCCCTTCTACTCTCTCTAAAAACAAAAACAAAAGCCTAGCTCTTTCCCTGCTCCATGTACAATGGAGAAGCTAAATTACATTGCTTTGAGAAGCTTTTATGGGCCAAGCCTGAAGTAGCCTTTCACACATTCTGAAACTACAATCAATGGGTCCCGGTTGCCTGTCACTACTTGAGCCAATTAAGCAGAGAGGGTTGAATCATATATGAGTGTTTATTCCAATAATGCCGACAGGATGGGAGAGCAGCTGGTCATCCATAAAAATCTGCTCTCCACCCCCCATAAGCCAGTTGCTTATATTGAGTAGGACAAAGATTGCATGGGGAAGTAGGCAAAAGGAATAAAAATGGGTATAATGGTTATAGATTACATGCAGTTTGGGCTGGGTGCCCCTCTGGGACTCCATTTGGACAACAAGGTGGTTCATCTTTCCATGATAACAGGCAGTTCTCAGATGAGAACGGGCCACATTCCAAAGTTGACTCCCAGGTCCAAGGTTGACCTCCAGGTGGTGATGGTGGTGTGTGGGAGGGGATGCTTACAACTCCCAGCCAGGTTAGAATGTGCTTTCTTTAATCAGAACAAAACAATCACTGTTAAGAGAGCATGATTAGTATTTCTTATAACTAATAGCTAATCTCCAATATTCTATTTCTGCCCCTAACACTCTTGGGAAAGCCTACCTCCTCCAGGAAGCCTTCCAGAGTGATTCAGAGAAGAGCTGAAAGCTCAGCTTTGTGTTCTCTGTCTGAAACACTTAGAGATAACCATACCCCTGCCCATCCCCTTTATGGTGACTACACACAGAGGCACTCAGTAAATATTTGATGAGTGAATGAGTGAAAGCATGAATTCCTAAGAAGTGTACTGATCACTTACTATGTGTCAGGCATATCTTGGGAAATACCAACTGAAATCAAGCCCTGGCCTCACAGAACTTACAATGTAATGTATGATACAGATTGATACATACATGCCCCTGTGTTCACTCATAGCTTCACTCTGTCCCTGACCTGTGTAAGTTGCAAGTTGGTGTCCATATGCATCCATCTGATGGTACATTTGTAAAATACCTACTGTGTGCCCAGAAGGTGGAGACCCAGAGATCAAAGACTTGGTTCCTGCACTTAAGGATTTCACAAACTATTGGAGACAGCAGAATGGCTGGGAGTGGGGACGGAGTGAACAGAAAACCACGCACATTTACATCACTGTGATGAGGATTTGGGGGGCCATTCTGAGCAGAAAAAGATCTGGCACTAAGAAGCAGTGCAGCTGGTGGGAAGAACCCTAGCTTTCAAGTTCAGCCTGGCCACTTGCTCGTAACCTGAGGCAAAACATAATGCATCTCACCTCATGGTCAAGATCAAATGAGATCATTGCAGGTGAAAGCATTTTGTAAATTGCAAAGGACCATTCAAATATTAATAAAGGATTTTTTTTTCTTTTCCTGTGTTGTCCCATTCCATCTTGTCTGCCACAGACAGAAAGAGATCCGACATTTTTTTTTCTTGCATCTGTAGTGAAAATTAGAGGAATTTTCTCGACAAAGCCATTTCTGTCCATATCAATCCTGTTGGGCAGGCTTCTTTGGGTAAAAGTTGTATTCCTCCCATCCCTTTTGCACTTGGGAGCAGTTTCATTGCCTAGTGACTCAATTTCTTTTCTACTAAGGAGAGGCTTAACCCCAACCGTATCTCCTCTGCTCTGTGCTCTGGGGCCTGGACGCTTAGTGAGAGCCGAACGGAGAGACCCACAGCCCCAAGGGTCTCTCTCTAAGCTGTTCGCCTCAGGACTCAGCTCCTAGTGGGAGGAACAGCTTGTTCCTGGAATGGAATTGTACGGGCACCAAGTCCTAGCCGGGAGGGGAGACTGGGCTGGAGAACCACCAGGTTTGACCACAGGCTTTGGGAACGCTGCCTTTGTTCCTAACTGGAATGCAATGCACCAGATGTGCTAGAAAATGCTGCGGTCTCTGTTGGCTTGTGAATGCCCTTCTCAGTAATATAAAACTCTTGGACATGTTGAGGAACTTGAAAAAATTATTTTCTCCTTGACTATGATAAAGTTATGATCCGTAGTCAATGATTTCACTTTTAGGTGAGCCCCCTACTCAATAGAGTATGCTAGCTTAATACTGCTGTAGGCTGTGGGAAGGGCACGAGGTGTCTGACCTGTGGGGTCAGACTGGACCTGGGTTCAGCAGCAGCCCCCTACTCAATAGAGTATGCTAGCTTAATACTGCAGTAGGCTGTGGGAAGGGCACAAGGTGTCTGACCAGACCTGGGTTCAGCAGCCTTAGGGTCTGGCTAGGAAAGAAGTCAGAGCAAGACCCAAACTGTAAGAGCACATTTACTTGGTAGCGTACAGAGGTAGAAGTAGTAATTCCTAGAAGAAATGGGCTGAGGAAACAAGTTGTAGAGGTAAAGGAAGGGCCCTAGGAGCTTGGGAGGGAGGAAGCTAAAGGAGGGGAAGGGAATGGGGAGGGGAAAAGGAAAGGTGGGCGTGCTCCCTGGAGGGAGAGTGCATTGGGCCCTCCATCCTAAGGGTTTAAGGGTGGAGATTTTAGGGGCGCTCCCAGGGAAAGATCTTACTAGAATATTCAGTAGTTTTCCAGGTGTGCCCTTTTAGGGTTGTGGTCTCCACTGAATGGCCAGCACCAGGGCATGGGGTCATTATTCAATGCAGCTGGCCCTGACCTCAGCCGTGGCTGGTTTTGCTCCTTAACTGGGCCTGGAGCTGAAATACAACTGAGGCCTCGCTATTATATCCAGGGAGGAAAGGTCAGGGGCCCAAACCTCATGCCCAGCCATCTGCTTAGGGAGGAAAAGTCACCCTGGGGGGTGAAGTCCCTCCCTACAAGTGATTGTCCATTGTTAGGCACCTGGGGTTTGCTGGCCTTCTGTACCTGGTCCATTATCCTTGCTCTGCTCATGTCTGCCTAACTGCTTATATCAATACAACATGTAATAATATTCACAAAAAAGAAACAACTCCCAATTTCCCCATTTAACAAATGATGCAAGGTGCTAAATTAATTTAAAATAACTGTAAAAATGATTTGCTGATGAATAAAATTTGAAATAACATATCATGTTTTGTTGGAAAGCCATATGAATATATTATCACAGACTGACATGTCACTACGTGTTGAATGATAGCATAAAAAAAAAATACATACACGTTTTTCATTAGCCACTCTTCAAATTCTTGAGATTTCCCCCAAGTTTTTTAAATATAAATTTTAGTGTTTTGTTTCTAAATGGCAGGAAAAGAGAAGGCTTTAGCTGGCTATTTGCGAGCATGTTTGAGAAAATAAAACATGTGGAGGTGGAGAGTATTTTAATCAAATGAGAAGTCAAATTAGATGTATTGTCACTATCAATTTTTAACATTACTTCAAGGTATTCAAGAATCTTGGTTGCAGACCTAGCCGGTTTGGCACAATGGATAGAGTGTTGGCCCATG